GCGCCCGATTCCCTTGCGCCCGATTTGCTTGCGCCCGATTCGCTTGCGCCCGATTCGCTTGCGCCCGATTCCCTTGCGCCCGATTCCCTTGCGCCCGATTCGCTTGCGCCCGATTCGCTTGCGCCCGATTCCCTTGCGCCCGATTCCCTTGCGCCCGATTCGCTTGCGCCCGATTCGCTTTCGCCCGATTCGCTTTCGCCCGATTCCCTTGCACCCGATTCCCTTGCGCTCGATTCGCTTGCGTCCGATTCCCTTGCGCCCGATTTCCTTGCGCCCGATTCCCTTGCGCCCGATTCCCTTGCCTCCGACTCGCTTGCGCCCGATTCGCTTGCGCGAGATTCGCTTGCGCGTGATTCTCTTGCGCCCGATTCGCTTGCGCCCGACTCACTTGCGCCCGACTTGCTTGCGCCCGATTCCCTTGCGCCCGAATCCCTTGCGCCCGATTCCCTTGCGCCCGATTCGCTTGCGCCCGATTCGCTTGCGCCCGATTCCCTTGCGCCCGACTCCCTTGCGCCCGATTCGCTTGCGCCCAATTCGCTTGCGCCCGATTCCCTAGCGCCCGATTCGCTTGCACCCGATTCCCTTGCGCCCGACTCCCTCGCGCCAGACTCCCTTGCGCCCAATTCTCTTGCGCCCGATTCGCTTGCGCCCGATTCCCTTGCGCCCGATTCGCTTGCGCCCGATTTGCTTGCGCCAGATTCGCTTGCGCCCGATTCGCTTGCGCCCGATTCCCTTGCGCCGGATTCGCTTGCGCCCGATTCGCTTGCGCCCGATTCGCTTGCGCCCGATTCCCTTGCGCCCGATTCCCTTGCGCCCGATTCCATTGCGCCCGATTCCCTTGCCCCCGATTTCCTTGCGCCCAATTCGCTTGCGCCCGATTCCCTTGCGCCCGACTCCCTTGCGCCCGACTCCCTTGCGCCCGGTTCGCTTGCGCCCGATTCGCTTGCGCACGATTCCCTTGCGCCCGATTCGCTTGCGCCCAATTCCCTTGCGCCCGATTCCCTTGCGCCCGACTCACTTGCGCCGGATTTGCTTGCGCCCGACTCGCTTGCGCCCGACTCCCTTGCGCCCGATTCGCTTGCGCCCGATTCCCTTGTGCCCGATTCCCTTGCGCCCGATTCCCTTGCGCCCGATTCCCTTGCGCCCGATTCCCATGCGCTCGATTCGCTTGCGCCCGATTCGCTTGCGCCCGACTCGCTTGCGCCCGATTCGCTTGCGCCCGACTCCCTTGCGCCCGATTCGCTTGCGCCCGATTCGCTTGCGCCCAATTCCCTTGCGCCCGATTCCCTTGCCTCCGACTCGCTTGCGCCCGATTCGCTTGCGCCCGATTCGCTTGCGCCCGACTCCCTTGCGCCCGACTTGCTTGCGCCCGATTCCCTTGCGCCCGAATCCCTTCCGCCCGATTCCCTTGCGCCCGATTCGCTTGCGCCCGATTCCCTTGCGCCCAATTTGCTTGCGCCCGATTCGCTTGCGCCCGATTCGCTTGCGTCCGATTCGCTTGCGCCCGACTCCCTTGCGCCTGACTCCCTTGCGCCCGATTCGCTTGCGCCTGATTCGCTTGCGGCCGATTCGCTTGCGCCCGATTCCCTTGCGCCCGATTCGCTTGCGCTCGATTCCCTTGCGCTCGATTCCCTTGCGCCCGATTCCCTTGCGCCCGACTCGCTTGCGCCCGATTTGCTTGCGCGCCCGACTCGCTTGCGCCCGACTCCCTTGCGCAACGCTTGCGCCCGATTCCCTTGCGCCCGATTCGCTTGCGCCCGATTCCCTTGCGCCCGATTCGCTTGCGCCCGATTCCCTTGCGCCCGATTCGCTTGCGCCCGATTCCCTTGCGCCCGATTCCCTTGCCCCCGATTTCCTTGCGCCCAATTCGCTTGCGCCCGATTCCCTTGCGCCCGATTCGCTTGCGCCCGATTCCCTTGCGCCCGATTCGCTTGCGTCCGATTCCCTTGCGCCCGATTTCCTTGCGCCCGATTCCCTTGCGCCCGATTCCCTTGCCTCCGACTCGCTTGCGCCCGATTCGCTTGCACATGATTCGCTTGCTCCCGTTTCGCTTGCGCCCGATTCGCTTGCGCCTGACTTGCTTGCGCCCGATTCCCTTGCGACCGAATCCCTTCCGCCCGATTCCCTTGCGCCCGATTCGCTTGCGCCCGATTTGCTTGCGCCCGATTCGCTTGCGCCCGATTCGCTTGTGCCCGATTCCCTTGCGCCCGATTCGCTTGCGCCCGATTCGCTTGCGCCCGATTCGCTTGCGCCCGAATCCCTTGCGCCCGACTCCCTTGCGCCCGATTCGCTTGCGCCCGATTCGCTTGCGCCCGATTCGCTTGCGCCCGATTTCCTTGCGCCCGATTCGCTTGCGCCCGATTCCCTTGCGCCCGACTCGCTTGCGCCCGATTCACTTGCGCGCTCGACTCGCTTGCGCCCGACTCCCTTGCGCCCGATTCGCTTGCGCCCGATTGCCTTGCGCCCGATTCGCTTGCGCCCGATTCGCTTGCGCCCGATTCGCTTGCGCCCGACTCCCTTGCGCCCGACTCCCTTGCGCCCGATTCGCTTGCGCCCGATTCGCTTGCGCCCGATTCCCTTGCGCCCGATTCCATTGCGCCCGATTCGCTTGTCCTTTACATTATACCATTCCCCACCCCTCTACCAGGTTCTAACCTTTTGGATCTATGTAATTCGCCAAATATAGGCATTCCAGTGGTGCATGGTACCTGCACTACAGGCACGCATACCGACCAACTTGACCAGCGCATTACGTATGTTTATAAAGATGCGGTTAGTACCATTTTCTTGTCAGTCCACTAGATTAGGCCATCTACATTAACAACACTAGGTTCTAACCTTTTAGATCCACAGAATTTGCAAGATTTCAGAGTTCCAGCTCCGCCTTGTACCTGCACACAAGCGTGCATACTGACCAAACAGACCCACGCATCATTCTCTCTGTATAGATATAGTGAATACCACATATGTTCCGCATTTCCTTTACATTATACCATTCCCCACCCCTCCACCAGGTTCTAACCTTTTGGATCTATGTAATCTGCCAAATATAGGCATTCCAGTCGTGCATGGTACCTGCACAATAGGCACGCATACCGACCAAACTGACCAGCGCATTACGTATGTTTATAGAGATGCAGTTAGTACCATTTTCTTGCCAGTCTACTAGATTAGGACATCAATTTTAACAATACTAGGTTCTAGCCTTTTAGATCCACATAATTTGCAAGATTTCAGAGCTCCAGCTTCGCCTTGTACCTGCACACAAGCGGCATACTCACCGAACTGATGCACGCATCATTCTCTCTGTATAGATACAGTGAATATCACATATGTTTCGCATTTCCTTTACATTATACCATTCCCCACCCCTTTACGAGGTTCTAACCTTTTGGATCTATGTAATTTGCCAAATATAGGCATTGCATGGTAACTGCACTACAGGCACGCATACTGACCAAACTGACCAGCGCATTACGTATGTTTATAAAGATGCAGTTAATACCATTTTCTTGCCAGTCCACTTTACTTAAAAAACACTAGGTTCTAACCTTTTAGATCAACATAATTTGCAATATTTCAGATCTTCAGCTCCGCCTTGTACCTGCACACAAGCGTGCATACTACCCGAACCGACCCACGTATCATTCTCTCTGTATAGATACAGTGAATACCACATATGTTTTGCTCTTCCTTTACAGTATACCATTCCCCATCCCTCTAATAGGTTCTAACCTTTTGGATCTATGTAATTCGCCAAAAATATGCATTCTAGTCGTACATGGTACCTGCACAACAGGCACGCATACTGACCAAACTGACCAGCGCATTACGTATGTTTGTATAGATGCAGTTAGTACCATTTTCTTGCCAGTCCACTAGATTAGGACATCTACTTTAACAATACTAGGTTCTAACCTATTAGATCCACATAATTTAAGATATTTCAGAGCTCCAGCTCCGCCTTGTATCTGTACAAATACAGTGAATACCACATATGTTTCACTCTTCCTTTACAATGTACCATTCCCCACCCCTCTACCAGGTTCTAACCTTTTGGATCTATGTAATTCGCCAAAAATAGGCATTCTAGTCGTGCATGGCACCTGCACTACAGGCGCGCATACCGACCAACTTGACCAGCGCATTACGTATGTTTGTAGAGATGCGGTAAGTACCATTTTCTTGCTAGTCCACTATATTAGGACATCTACTTTAACAACACTAGGTTCTAACCTTTTAGATCCACATAATTTAAGATATTTCAGAGCTCCAGCTCCGCCTTGTACCTGCACACAAGCGTGCATACTGACCAAACTGACCCACGCATCATTCTCTCCGTATAGATATAGTGAATACCACATATGTTTCGCATTTCCTTTACATTATACCATTCCCCACCCCTCTACTAGGTTCTAAACTTTTGGATCTATGTAATTTGCCAAATATAGGCATTCCAGTCATGCATGGTACCTGCACAATAGGCACGCATACCGACCAAACTGACCAGCGCATTACGTATGTTTATAGAGATGCAGTTAGTACCATTTTCTTGCCAGTTCACTAGATTAGGACATCTATTTTAACAATACTAGGTTCTAGCCTTTTAGATCCACATAATTTGCAAGATTTCAGAGCTCTTGCTCCACCTTGAACCTGCACACAAGCGTGAATACTGACCGAACTGACCCACGCATCATTCTCTCTGTATAGATACAGTGAATACCACATATGTTTCGCATTTCCTTTATAGTATACCATTCCACACCCCTCTAATGGGCTCTAACGTATGTTTGTAGAGATACGGCTAGTACCATTTTCTTGTCGATCCACTAGATTGAGCCATCTACTTTAACAACACTAGGTTCTAACCTTTTAGATCCACATAGTTTAAGATATTTCAGAGCTCCAGCTCCGCCTTGTACCTGCACACAAGCGTGCATACTGACCAAACTGACCCACGCATAATTCTCTTTGTATAGATACAGTGAATACCACATATGTTTCGCATTTCCTTTACATTATACCATTCCCCACCCCTCTACCAGGTTCTAACCTTTTGGATCTATCTAATTTCCCAAAAATAGGCATTTCAGTCGTGCATGATACCTGCACTACAGGCGCGCATACCGACCAACTTGACCAGCGCATTACGTATGTTTGTAGAGATGCTGTTAGTACCATTTTCTTGTCAATCAACTAGATTAGGCCATCTACTTTAACAACACTAGGTTCTAACCTTTTAGATCCACATAATTTGCAAAATTTCAGAGCTCCAGCTCCGCCTTGTACCTGCACACAAGCGTGCATACTACCCGAACCGGCTCACGCATCATTTTCTCTGTATAAGTAGAGTGAATGGCACATATGTTTCGCTTTTCCTTTATATTATACCATTCCCCACCCCTCTGCCAGGTTCTAACCTTTTGGATCTATGTAATTCCCAATTCTCCCTCTTTCCATCACCCCGCCCAATTCTCCCTCTTTCCATCACCCCGCCCCATTCTCCCTCTTTCCATCATCCAGCCCCATTCTCCCTCTTTCCATCACCCCGCCCCATTCTCCCTCTTTCCATCACCCAGCCCCATTCTCCCGCTTTCCATCACCCCGCCCCATTCTCCCTCTTTCCATCACCCTGCCCCATTCTCCCTCTTTCCATCACCCCGCCCCATTCTCCCGCTTTCCATCACGCCGCCCCATTCTCCCGTTTTATATCACCCAGCCTCAATCTCCCTCTTTCCATCACCCAGCCCCATTCTCCCTCTTTCCACCCTGCCCCATTCTCCCGCTTTCCATCTCTCCGCCCCATTCTCCCTCATTCCATCACCTCGCCCCATTCTCCAGCTTTCCATCACTCCGCCCTGTCCCTCTTTCCATCACCCTGCCCCAACCATCACCCCGCCCCATTCTCCCTCTTTCCATCACCCCGCCCCATTCTCCCTCTTTCCATCACCCCGCCCCATTCTCCCGCTTTCCATCACCCCGCCCCATTTTCCCGCTTTCCATCACCCCGCCCAATTCTCCCGCTTTCCATCACGCGGTCCCATTCTCCCTCTTTCCGTCACCCTGCCCTATTCTCCCTCTTTCCATCACCCTGCCCATTTCTCCCTCTTTCCATCACCCCGCCCCGTTCTCCCGCTTTCCATCACCCCGCCGCGATCTCCCGCTTTCTATCACCCCGCCCCATTCTCCCTCTTTACATCACCCCGCCCCATTCTCCCTCTTTCCATCACCCAGCCCCATTCTCCCGCTTTCCATCACGCCGCCCCATTCTCCCTCTTTCCATCACCCCGCCCCATTCTCCCGCTTTCCATCACCCCGCCCCATTCTCCCTCTATCCATCACCCCGTCCCATTCTCCCGCTTTCCATCACCCCGTCCCATTCTCCCGCTTTCCATCACCCCGCCCCATTCTCCCTCTTTCCATCACCCCGCCCCATTCTCCCGCTTTCCATCACCCCGCCCCATTCTCCCTCTATCCATCACCCCGTCCCATTCTCCCGCTTTCCATCACCCCGTCCCATTCTCCCGCTTTCCATCACCCCGCCCCATTCTCCCCCTTTCCATCACCCTGCCCCATTCTCCCGCTTTCCATCACCCCGCCTCATTGTCCCTCTTTCCATCACCCCGCCCCATTCTCCCGCTTTCCATCACCCCGCCCCATTCTTCCTCTCTCCATCACCCCGCCCCATTCTCCTGCTTTCCATCACCCGCCCCGTTCTCCCGCTTTCCATCACCCCGCCCCATTCTCTCGCTTTCCATCACCCCGCACCATTCTCCCACTTTCTATCACCCAGCCCCATTCTCCATTCGGGCGCAAGCGAGTCGGGCACAAGCGAATCGGGCGCAAGCGAGTCGGGCGCAAGGGAATCGGGCGCAAGCGAATCGGGCGCAAGGGAATCGGGCGCAAGCGAATCAGGCGCAAGCGAATCGGGCGCAAGCGAATTGGGCGCAAGGGAGTCGGGCGCAAGGGAGTCGGGCGCAAGCGAATCGGGCGCAAGCGAATCGGGCGCAAGCGAATCGGGCGCAAGGGAATCGGGCGCAAGCGAATCGGGCGCAAGCGAAACGGGCGCAAGCGAATCGAGCGCAAGGGAATCGGGCGCAAGCGAATCAGGCGCAAGCGAATCGGGCGCAGGGGAATCGGGCGGAGGGGATTCGGGCGCAAGCAAGTCAGGCGCAAGCGAGTCGGGCGCAAGCGAATCGGGCGCAAGCGAATCGGGCGTAAGCGAATCGGGCGCAAGCGATTCGGGCGCAAGCGAGTCGGAGGCAAGGGAATAGGGCGCAAGGGAATCGGGCGCAAGGAAATCGGGCGCAAGGGAATCGGGCGCAAGCGAATCGGGCGCAAGAGAATCGGGCGCAAGCGAATCGGGCGCAAGCGAATCGGGCGCAAGGGAATCGGGCGCAAGCGAATCCGGGGCAAGGGAGTCGGGCGCAAGCGAGTCGGGCGCGCAAGCGAATCGGGCGCAAGCGAGTCGGGCGCAAGGGAATCGGGCGCAAGGGAATCGGGCGCAAGGGAATTGGGCGCAAGCGAATCGGGCGCAAGCGAATCGGGCGCAAGGGAGTCGGGCGCAAGGGAGTCGGGCGCAAGCGAATCGGGCGCAAGCGAATCGAGCGCAAGTGAATCGGGCGCAAGGGAATCGGGCGCAAACGAATGAGGCGCAAGCGAATCGGGCGCAAGGGAATCGGGCGCAAGCGAATCGGGCGCAAGCGAATCGGGCGCAGGGGAATCGGGCGGAGGGGATTCGGGCGCAAGCAAGTCGGGCGCAAGCGAGTCGGGCGCAAGCGAATCGGGCGCAAGCGAATCGGGCGCAAGCGAATCGGGCGCAAGCGAGTCGGAGGCAAGGGAATCGGGCACAAGGGAATCAGGCACAAGGAAATCGGGCGCAAGGGAATCGGGCGCAAGCGAATCGAGCGCAAGGGAATCGGGCGCAAGCGAATCGGACGCAAGCGAATCGGGCGCAAGCGAATCGAGCGCAAGGGAATCGGGCGAAAGCGAGGCGCAAGGGAGTCGGGCGCAAGCGAGTCGGGCGCGCAAGCGAATTAGGCGCAAGCGAGTCGGGCGCAAGGGAATCGGGCGCAAGGGAATCGGGCACAAGCGAATCGGGCGCAAGCGAATCGGGCGCAAGCGAATCGGGCGCAAGCGAATCGGGCGCAAGCGAATCGGGCGCAAGGGAGTCGGGCGCAAGGGAGTCGGGCGCAAGCGAATCGGGCGCAAGCGAATCTGGCGCAAGGGAATCGGGCGCAAGGGAATCGGGCGCAAGGGAATCGGGCGCAAGGGAATCGGGCGCAAGCGAATCGGGCGCAAGCGAATCGGGCGCAAGCGAATCGGGCGCAAGCGAATCGGTCGCAAGCGAATCGGGCGCATGCGAATCGGGCGCAAGGGAATCGGGCGCAAGCGAATCGGGCGCAAGAGAATCGGGCGCAAGGGAGTCGAGCGCAAGGGAGTCGGGCGCAAGGGAATCAGGCGCAAGCGAATCGGGCGCAAGGGAATCGGGCGCAAGCGAATCGGGCGCAAGCGAATCGGGAGCAAGGGAGTCGGGCGCAAGGGAATCGGGCGCAAGGGAATCGGGCGCAAGCGAATCGGGCGCAAGGGAATCGGGCGGAAGGGATTCGGGCGCAAGGGAATCGGGCGCAAGCGAATCGGGCGCCAACGAGTCGGAGGCAAGGGAATCGGGCGCAGGGAATCGGGCGCAAGGGAATCGGACGCAAGCGAATCGGGCGCAAGCGAATTGGGCGCAAGCGAATTGGGCGCAAGCGAATCGGGCGCAAGCGAATCGGGCGCAAGCGAATCGGGCGCAAGCGAATCGGGCGCAAGCGAATCGGGCGCAAGCGAATCGGGCACAAGCGAATCGGGCGCAAGCAAATCGGGCGCAAGGGAGTCGGGCGCAAGGGAGTCGGGCGCAAGGGAGTCGGGCGCAAGGGAATCGGGCGCAAGCTAATCGGGCGCAAGGGAATCGGGCGCAAGCGAATCGGGCACAAGCGAATCGGGCGCAAGGGAGTCGGGCGCAAGCGAATCGGGCGCAAGCGAATCGGGCGCAAGGGAATCGGGCGGAAGGGATTCGGGCGCAAGGGAATCGGGCGCAAGCAAGTCGGGCGCAAGCGAGTCGGGCGCAAGCGAATCGGGCGCAAGCGAATTGGGCGCAAGCGAATCGGGTGCAAGCGAGTCGGAGGCAAGGGAATCGGGCGCAAGGGAATCGGGCGCAAGGAAATCAAGCGCAAGGGAATCAGACGCAAGCGAATCGGGCGCAAGGGAATCGGGCGCAAGCGAATCGAGCGCAAGCGAATCGGGCTCAAGGGAATCGGGCGCAAGCGAATTGGGCGCAAGGGAATCGGGCGCAAGGGAATCGGGTGCAAAGGAATCGGGCGCAAGCGAATCGGGTGTTAAACATTGTATATGTTTCTATTCTGTAGGCTATAGTGGGTTTAGCCTTAGGGGGTACAACATTCTAGGTTTTCCTACTTGTACTCCCAATGTTGTTAGTTCATTCATTCCTCACTCATTCTGACATGGTATTACGAGCCTAGGTGAGGAACCTAGGACCGCTTGTTCCTAAGGGCCCACCGTTCCGCTAGAAGCGCCCTCGTGCGCCCTACCTTCCTCGCGCCCTCGTGCGCCTCTTTACTAGTGCGCCCTCGCGCGCCCTCCCTCTCACGCTGCCCGTGCGCAGCCCACTAGCCGACCGCGCGCGGCCCGTTTTTTCTCGCGCGCAGCCCGCTAGCCGCCCGCGCGCGGCCCGTTTCTCGTGCGCGCGACCCGCTAGCCGCCCGCGCAGTCGACGACGCCCTGGCGCAGCCCGCCCTGGCCTCGCGCGGCCCCTAGCACAGCCCGCAAGCTGCTCGTCAACCGGCGCGCGCCGCCGCCTCACGCTCGAAGGCCGCAGCCCGTACGTAGGCCGCCGCCCGCACGTAGGCCGCCGCCCTCACGTAGGGCGCCGCCCGCACGTAGGCCGCCGCCTCGCACAGCCGCAGACCGCGCGCCGGCCCACCCTCCCTGCCCGAGCCGCGCCGCGCCGTCCTGCCCGAGTCGCGCCGCCCTGACCGAGCCGCGCTGCCCTACTGTGCACCACCTGCAGCAACTGCTGCACCTGCTCCTGCTGTTACTACTGCTACTGCTGCTACTGTTCCTACTGCTGCTACTGCCACTATGGCCAGTCCTACCGTTCTCACTTTTGACGCTGAGGGCCGTCCGATTAAGTTTGACGTTTGGCTCGATGACCTGCACCTGTTCCTCCAGATCACTGCCAAGGACGATGTTTCCCTGTTTGACCACACGTCCGGCGTCGCTCCCGCACCTGCTGCTACTGCTGACAGTACGGCTCGCTCACAGTGGCAGACCCGTGACGCTCACGCTCGCCTAGCCGTTCGCAGCCACCTGCCGTTAGATGAGCGCGAGCATTTTGGCCAGCATAAGACCGCTCAGGAGCTGTACAATGCTGTAGTTGCGCGCTACTCCTCCCCTGCTACTGCTGCGATAGGCCGTCTCTCGCTGCCCTATCTCTTCCCCGATCTGTCCGCCTTTGCCACTGTAGCTGACCTTATCACTCACCTCCGTACTAGTGATCTCCGCTACCATGCCGCGCTTCATCCCGATTTCCTCGCCAAGAACCCTCCCCCGATGTACCTCACACTCTACCACCTAGTCACTCGCCTCCCTGACTCTCTTCGCGCTAACAGGGACCACTTTCTTGCCCTCTCCCCCACTGACCTCACTGTCGACCTGTTCGAGAAGGGACTCCTTGCAGCTGAGACTAGTATTGTAGCTGTAGGTGCCTCTCGTGGCGACCCTCGCACTCCCTTCTTTGAGGGATGTTCCCCCTCCCCCTTCTCCCCTCCATTGCATCTGCTGCTGCTGTCGACTACCTCGGTGCTGAGGAGGTCGGGGCTGCGTCTGCTCCTAGTGGGAGGCGCAAGGGCGGCAGGGGCAAGGGGGGCAAGGGTGGCGGAGGTGGCGGCGGGGGCGGCGGTGGTGGTGGGGGTGGAGGGGGCGGGGGTGGTGGCGGTGGTGGGAGTGGTGCTGGTGGTGGGGGGGTCAGTGGCGGAGGCGGGGGTGGTGGCGGCGGCGGTGGTGGGGGTGGCGGGGGTGGTGGTGGTAGTGGTGGCGACAGTGGAGCTGGTGGCGGGCGCGGTGGAGCGGTGCAGCGCGGGGGGTTCGGCGGTGGCCAGAGGCAGCAGCAGCAGCGTCCCAGCGAGACCCTGTCGCCCCAGCAGCTTCGTGAGTGCTACTCTCAGCGTGGGGGGTCTGGGGGTGGAGGTAGCTGCCCGTACGTCATCCGCACAGGTGACCGCACTGGCCAGACCTGTGGGAGGTTCCACACGGCGCAACGCTGCTTCTTTCGTCTCGACGACGCCTGGCGCGCGCAGTTTCTTGACGCCTCTGAGCTGCCCCGCTGGGCTGATCTGCTGAAAAAGAACATTGATATCTTTGCTCTTGATTTTGATGCTATCCTTGGTGCCATGTATGCATTGACTGTTAGTGTTGAGGGTGACTGTTACCTGCGTGTACCGCCCGACCCGGGTATTGGGACCAGCGAGGCTGCCGCTCTAGGTGCTAGTGCGTCTGCTGCCCTAGGTCCTGGTGAGACTGCTGCTCTAGGTGCTAGTGAGTCTGCTGCTCCAGGTGCTCGTGCGTCTGCGCCTGCTGGTACTGCGTCCACTGAGGCACTGCACACCTTCACACTGGACTCGGGTGCTTCCCGCTGCTTCTTTCGTGACCGCACTATCCTTGAGCAGCTAGCTCGGCATGTTGCTGTCTCCCTGGCTGACCCCTCTGGGGGCCCGGTCCTTGCGACCTCCTCCACTGTCCTCCCTTGTCCTGCGGTCCCGTCCGGCACCCTGTCAGGTCTCTACCTCCCCTCGTTCTCTACGAACTTGGTGGCGGGCTCTGCTCTCCAGGACGGGGGTGTTCACCAGTTCACCCCTGCCCATGAGCGTGTGACCCACTGCACGTGTGCTCGGACGGGTCGCCACCTGGCTACCTTCACTAGGCAGCCGGGGTCGGACCTGTACACACTGACCACTGAGTCCCCTCAGGTAGCTGCGTCTGCGTCTGCGTCAGGTCAGCTGTCGGCCCCCTCGTGTCGCACCCTGTCGCACCAGACCGTCCTCTGGCACCACCGCCTTGGTCACCCGTCAGTGCAGCGCCTTCGTGGCATGCACTCCCGGTACCTTGTCTCTGGTCTTCCCAGGACCCTGCCTCCCCTGCCACCCTCCCCTGCCCCTCCCTGCCTTCCCTGTGTCGAGGGGCGGCAGCGCGCCGCCCCTCACTCCTCCTCGTTCCCCCCGACAGAGGCTCCCCTGCAGACTCTCCACTTGGACGTGTGGGGCCCAGCCCGCGTCCGTGGACAGGGCGGCGAGCGCTACTTCCTGCTGGTGGTTGACGACTACACGCGTTACACCACGGTCTTCCCCTTGCGTACCAAGGGTGAAGTCCCTGATGTTTTGATCCCTTGGATCCGCAACAGTCGTCTCCAGCTGCACAAGCGCTTCCACACGGACTTTCCTGTCCTGCGTCTGCACTCTGACAGAGGTGGTGAGTTTTCCTCCGACCTCTTGAGGGCCTTCTGTCAGGGGGAGGGCATTGAGCAGTCGTTCACGCTTCCGGCCTCTCCTCAGCAAAATGGGGTTGCTGAGCGCCGCATTGGCTTAGTCATGGAGGTCGCTCGTACCTCCCTGATCCATGCGGCTGCCCCCCATTTTCTGTGGCCGTTTGCGGTTCGATACGCTGCGCATCAGCTCAACCTCTGGCCCCGTGTCTCCGTTCCGGAGACCTCGCCGACACTGCGTTGGACGGGAGAGGTTGGCGATGCGTCGGTGTTCCGGGTCTGGGGATCTCGTGCTTTTGTCCGCGATACGTCCGCGGACAAGCTCTCCGCCCGCGCTGTTCCCTGTGTCTTCCTTGGCTTCACCACTGACGCGCCTGGCTGGTAGTTTTACCACCCCACATCACGCCGTGTCTTCGCCTCTCAGGACGTCACTTTTGACGAGTCGGTACCCTTTTACCGTATTTTCCCCTACCGCACTGCCCCGCTTCCCCCCCCGCCGCTCTTCCTCACCCCAGGTGTCCCTTCGGTAGACCCCCTCCCTCCCCAGGGTCCTGCTCCCTCAGGTGTTTCCCAGGTAGACCCGGTCGAGACTGTCGAGGTAGCTGTCGACTCTGGTCCTGCGAGGGGTACTGAGCCTGTGGGTGCTGAGACTGGGGGTGCTGAGCCTGGGGGTGCTGCGACTGGGGGTGCTGAGCCAGGGGGAGCTGAGGCTGGGGGTTCTGAGACTGACCATGCTGCGCCTGGTGGCGCTCCCTCTTCACAGCAGCTACGTGAGTGGTACTCTCAGCGTTGCAGCCTCCAGCGTGGGGCTGCTGGAGCTGGGGGTTCTGCTGGAGTTGGAGCTGGTGGTGCTGCGGGTGCCGTGTCGCGGCCGGAGCCTCCCTCCCCACAGCGGCTGCGTGAGTGGTACGCTCGTCGCTGCAGCCTCCGGAGCGGCGCTCCTAGCGCTGGGGTGCCGCCCGCTGGAGGCCCTGGTGCTGCTGGAGGTGCTGGATCCTCTGGTCCTGGAGGTGCTCGTACAGGCGGTACTGGAGCTGCTGGGACTGGGGGTTCTGGTGGAGCTGGTGCTGGAGCTGCTGGAGCTGGTACTGCTGGAGGTACTGCTGGTGCTGGAGCTGCTGGTGGTGCTGCTGGAGGTGCTGCTGGTGCTGGAGCTGCTGGAGGTGCTGCTGGTGCTGGTGCTGCTAGAGCTGCTGGAGGTGCTGGAGCTACTGGAGCTGCTGGTGGTGCTGCGGGAGTTGTAGCTGGAGACCCTGGGGCTGAGGGTGCTGGTGCTGTCTCTGCTGGTTCAGGAGGTGCTGCGCGGCCGCGGCCGTACTACGTTCCACTCCTTCAGCAGTTTCTTGGCCTCCCGCCCTCTACTGGTCCTACTCCTCCCCTACTGAGTCCACCGCCTGTCCAGTCGCAGTCACAGTTACAGCCTGCCTCTCCGCTGCCTGGTCCTTCTCCTTACGCTGGGCCGACTAGAGGTCTTACGGAGCGTCGTGAGCATGAGTCTCGTCCTGCGTCGCCTGAGTCTCGTCCTGCGTCGCCAGAGTCTCGTCCAGAGTCGCCTGTCCGCGCTGTCCGCGCTGGTCGTCGTGTTCCGCGTGAGCGTCCTCCTACTGTCCCTGGCACTCACTATATGACTCTGCGTCCTTCCACTGCTCCACAGCGTGTTCCTCTGCCGTCTCCTCCTGCGTCCTCTCTTCCTGACGGTCCGGACCCGGAGTCTGACTCCCTTCGTGCTGCCAGTCCTACTGTCACGCGTTTCCTCGCCACTGTTGTCACTGACCCTACCTTTGAGTCCACTTCTGCGTCTGCTCTAGTCGCTGAGCTTGTTGACTTTGCTGCCGCCTGTCGTCTAGACTACGCCGCTAGCCTTGTTGCTGAGTCTGAGTCTGAGTCTGTCTGTCCTCCGTCCGTCGGGGGTGAGTGTGCTCTTGGCACGGACGTCCTTGAGGACAGACAGGAGGAGTTTGAGTGCTTTGCCGCTGCTTTACCTCATCTCGTGTCCATGCTGATTGCCCCTGAGGGAGACCCGGATGCACCAGACATCCCGACCCCGCGCTCTTACGCAGAGGCGATAGAGGGTCCCTACTCCTCTCAGTGGCAGTCAGCCATGGACGCAGAGATGGCTTCCTGGAAGTCCACAAGCACCTACGTCGACGAGGTTCCCCCGCCTGGGGCGAACATCGTCAGTGGCATGTGGATTTTCAGGGTGAAGCGGCCGCCGGGTTCTCCGCCTGTCTTCAAGGCGCGTTACGTTGCACGAGGCTTCAGTCAGCGTGAGGGAGTTGACTTCTTCCAGACCTTCTCCCCTACCCCGAAGATGACCACTCTTCGGGTTCTGCTGCACGTCGCCGCTCAGCGTGACTACGAGCTCTACTCTCTTGACTTCAGCACTGCTTTCCTACAGGGCTGCCTGCACGAGGAGATCTGGCTGCGCCGCCCACCTGGCTTCACTGGGTCGTTTCCTGGTGGTACCCAGTGGAGCCTCCGGTGGCCAGACTACGGTCTCCGCCAGGCACCGCGTGAGTGGCACGACACACTGAGGACTACTCTTGCTGCTCTTGGGTTTGCTCCTTATACTGCTGACCCGTCGCTGTTTCTACGCACCGGCACCACTCTGCCGCCGTTCTACGTTCTCGTGTACGTAGACGACTTGGTCTTTGCTACTGCTGACACTGAGGCACTCGCCCACGTGAAGTCGGAGCTGCAGAAGAGACACACGTGCACAGACCTGGGTGAGCTGACAAGCTATCTTGGCTTGCGGATCACCCGGGACAGAGCACAGCGCACCATTACCTTGACTCAGTCACACATGGTGCAGCAGGTCCTTCAGCGCTTTCGCTTCACGTACTCTTCGCCAGAGTCCACTCCTCTGCCTACCGGTCACTCGCTCTCAGCTCCACCTTCGGACGAGTCCGTAGAGCCGAGTGGCCCGTATCCAGAGCTTGTGGGCTGCCTCATGTACCTGATGACCTGCACTCGACCTGACCTAGCCTACCCTCTTAGCATCCTAGCACGCTATGTCGCTCCTGGCCGACACAGGAAGGAGCACATGGATGCTGCTAAGAGGGTGTTGCGCTACTTGTGCAGTACGTCGGGCATGGGGCTCGTGCTTGGAGGACGGGCTCGAGTTGTCCTCACTGGTCACGCAGACGCTTCTTGGGCTGACGACTTGGCTATCAGCGGTCGTCACAGGGTTACACCTTCAGCCTTGGCTCCGGCTCTGTTTCTTGGCGGTCAACCCGCTCGTCTTCTGTTCTCAGCTCCAGTTGTGAGGCTGAGATCTACGCAGGGGCCATGGCTGCACAGGAGTTACGCTGGCTCACCTACCTGCTGACCGACCTTGGAGAGCCGCCTCGTTCTCCTCCAGTGCTGTACGTCGACAACAAGGCCACGATTGCCTTGTGTCAGGAGCACAGACTGGAGCACAGAACGAAGCACATCGCTCTGCGCTACTTCCTTGCTCGAGAGTTGCAGCAGCGTGGTCAGCTTCGTCTTGCTTACGTGGCCACTCGGGCCAACACTGCTGATGTGTTCACCAAGGCGCTTCAACCTTGTGATCATCAGCGTTTCTGTACTGTTCTAGGCCTTGTGCCTACTGTGCCTCACTTGCTTACTTCCTGACTCTGCTTGTACTGTGATCCTTATATATGTCTACCTGCATGTTTACACTTGCTAGGTTGTGATCACTGTATTTCTTGTTATATTATCAACCTGCATGTGAACTGGTGTTGTGACCGCTTGCTTGTGCTCGGAATTTGTGTGGTATCCTTGAGATCCACCCTGAGCTGTGCTTTGCTTTGCTTTGTTTTGACTGGTCTTGTGACCATCTGGTTCTCTCCCACTTAGCCTATGGGGGTGTGTCAAAGATTGTATATGTTTCTATTATGTAGGCTATAGTGGGTTTAGCCTTAGGGGGTACAACATTCTAGGTTTTCCTACTTGTACTCCCAATGTTGTTAGTTCATTCATTCCTCACTCATTCTGACATTGGGCGCAAGCGCAAGCGAATCGGGCGCAAGGGAGTCGGGCGCAAGCGAGTCGGGCGCGCAAGCAAATCGGGCGCAAGCGAGTCGGGCGCAAGGGAATCGGGCGCAAGGGAATCGGGCGCAAGCGAATCAGGCGCAAGGGAATCGGGCGCAAGCGAATCGGGCGCAAGCGAATCGGGCACAAGGGAGTTGGGCGCAAGGGAGTCGGGCGCAAGCAAATCGGGCGCAAGGGAATCGGGCACAAGCGAATCGGGCGCAAGGGAATCAGGCGCAAGCGGATCGGGCGCAATTGAATCGGGCGCAAGCGAATCGGGCGCAAGTGAATCGGGCACAAGCGAATCAGGCGCAAGCGAATCGGGCGCAAGCGAATCGGGCGCAAGGGAATCGGGCGCAAGCGAATCGGGCGCAAGGGAGTCGGGCGCAAGGGAGTCGGGCGCAAGGGAATCGGGTGCAAGCAAATCGGGCGCAAAAAAAATCAGGCGCACGCGAATCGGGCGCAAGGGAGTCGGGCGCAAGGGAATCGGGCGCAAGCGAATCGGGCGCAAGCGAATGGGGCGCAAGGGAATCGGGCGGAAGGGATTCGGGCGCAAGGGAATCGGGCGCAAGCGAGTCGGGCGCAAGCAAGTCGGGCGCAAGCGAGTCGGGCGCAAGCGAATCGGGCGCAAGCGAGTCGGAGGCAAGGGAATCGGGCGCAAGGGAATCGGGCGCAAGGAAATCGGGCGCAAGGGAATCGGACGCAAGCGAATCGGGCGCAAGGGAATCGGGCGCAAGCGAATCGGGCGCAAGCGAATCGGGCGCAAGGGAATCGGGCGCAAGCGAATTGGGCGCAAGGGAATCGGGCGCAAGGGAATCGGGCGCAAGGGAATCGGGTGCAAGCGAATCGGGCGCAAGGGAATCGGGCGCAAGCGAATCGGGCGCAAGCGAATCGGGCGAAATCGAATCGGGCGCAAGGGAATCGGGCGCAAGCGAATCGGGCGCAAGGGAGTCGGGCGCAAGCGAGTCGGGCGCGCAAGCGAATCGGGCGCAAGCGAGTCGGGCGCAAGGGAATCGGGCGCAAGGGAATCCAGCGCAAGCGAATCGGGCGCAAGGGAATCGGGCGCAAGCGAATCGGGCGCAAGCGAATCGGGCGCAAGCGAGTCGGGCGCAAGGGAGTCGGGCGCAAGGGAGTCGGGCGCAAGCAAATCGGGCGCAAGGGAATCGGGCACAAGCGAATCGAGCGAAAGGGAATCGGGCGCAAGCGGATCGGGCGCAATTGAATCGGGCGCAAGCGAATCGGGCGCAAGTGAATCGGGCGCAAGCGAATCGGGCGCAAGCAAATTGGGCGCAAGAGAATCGGGCGCAAGGGAATCGGGCGCAAGGGAATCGGGTGCAAGCGAATCGGGCGCAAGGGAATCGGGCGCAAGCG